AACACATGCCCTTACCAAATATCTAAACTAAACTAAAATTATTCCAAAATCATATGAAATGAAAAAAAAAAACATATATTTTCAACAATCCAAATCATAATTCAACAAAACTACGTCAGCAAATCACATCCAAAGTTTCAGAAGCCCTAACATAAACTCTCATTTTCCTAACATTTGACGCTTATTTACCACTGCTGAACGAATCGCTAGTCACAATTGTCGTTAATCTACTAATTTCTACCTGAATCGTCTCTTTCTCTCTTCTCTTTCGGTAAGTCTCATATTCTTATTTAAGCCATTTTTCCATTATTATTTCTTTTATTTGTTTTTTTTTAAATTTATTATACACTTGTGAGTTGTGGTTTGGATAGAAAAATGTCTGTTTGTGTGCCTAAATATTTAATAAACTTGTTTGTGATTTGGAAAGAACGAAGGACGGAGCGTATTGATTGTATGAAAATATTAAAGTTCCCTAACTAATACTACTACCTTCTACTTTCATAAAGTAGTTAGAAGATGAAATTCTTCAATTCCTAATAAGTCGAAACTCTATCAATCTTTGTGTATCTAAACATATTCCGTTCAATCATTATTTAATATCTCACTAGCAAGATGAAAGGAGTTTTAACCAAACTATAATAGCAGAATATAACTTTACATTTACTAACCGTTATATAATAGTTTGAATGTCAATCCAGAAATAGTAAATAAAAATGAAAAAAAAAAAGATGTATTCGTTCTATTAATATCTTTTAGCAACCAAATTTGAAAATAATTTATTCATGTATTTCATGGTAAATATGAATGTAATTTAATATTTAACACTATTAGTTCTCGTTGAGACTCGCAAAATTATGTTTTGATTTGATTTGGTTCGAAAAATAAAATGGTTCGATTTGGTTCAAAAAAATTTCAAATCACATAAAATAATTTTAGTCGAAATATAACACAAACTGTCCAAATTGAACCGCGTTCACCTTTAGTTTATGCGGCATTGATTCCTAATAAATAAACACTCTAGTCAAAGTTTGTCTTCTAGAAGTTCTAATTACAACACAATGATAATGTTTGAGCGTCTTTTATTTTTTTAAAATAAAACATAAAATCACGAAAATATGAATCTTCAAATGAAATATAGATACTGCTGATCGAATTTAAAATTTAGATAGAGCTCTGAACTATGTCTAATTGTTTCTTTATCACAACATATTTAGAGTCTATGTTTGAATACGTTGAAAATGATTTTTCTAGGCATTAAGGTTAAATTGATAAAATAAGTGATCATATTGAAATTAATTAAGTTGGAGTGACTAAAATGAAACAAACCATTAAATGAAGTGACCTCCAGTGAAATTGCAGCCTTGGCTGGTTGGCGATGATCTCACGCCTCGATGCAGAAGCATGTCAGCTGACTGACTCTGTATCCACCGCTCGCTCTCTCTCTATCTCTGCATATAATCTTCCTCGCATATATATACACAAGATCGAGGGCTATTGAAATACCAAAAATTCAGAAGGGGGAGAAAGATGGTCTTGATAATAGGATTAAGTGTACAGTGCATGCTGGACTTCGTGGTTGCTGGAATTTCACTGATGATTGGATTAGGTCTATTTGCGTTCATTGCTTCAATTCTTTGCTCTGCTGCTTTCTTCCAGAATGTCAAGGAAATTTCCTGATTTCAATTTCTGTTTAACGGAAAAACTGACGGAATATGGACGGAAAGACGTCCAGCGCAAAGAAAGGTTGAAATGAGGGCAAAAATGCCAAAAAATGAAAGGTAGGGACGTTTTCCACAATAGACTTGAAAGGTAGGGACGTTTTGTGCCAATTACCCTTTAATTAACGGAAAAACTAACGGAATATGGACGGAAGGACGTCCAGCGCAAAGAAAGGTTGAAATGAGGGCAAAAATGCCAAAAAATGAAAGGTAGGGACGTTTTCCACAATAGACTTGAAAGGTAAGGACGTTTTGTGCCAATTACCCATAGGAGAATGATAGCAAATGCAAACTTCTCTTTCCACTGGCAATAAGCCAATTGAACGGAAGATGCATGTGGCATCGTGGTTCTAAGTTTTCTGGAAGCATGTAAATCACCTGATAATTGCATAACAACAGCAGATACGATGATACTCTGAATACTACCATTAGAAACTTAATTCGTTCTTGCTTATATTTTTACCATTTCTTAAGATAATGAATTTTCTTCTGTTTCCTTTTTGCCAATGCCATTTGTGTTGCATATTAATTAAATAAAACAATTTCTAGAAGTTAAATGATTCCTGGTCTCTATTTCACAGGTTAAGCAGGTTGTTTCATAGAAGTTCAATAAGGATTCTCTTTCTTATCACTCGGTGAATGTGCTGTTTCTCTGCATCAATGAGTTATTCACCTTTTGATTGGAGGCTTATTGTTCTTCAACTGCAATAGAAGAATCCATTTTTTTTCCTTTTCCTGCAATAGAAGAATGTAATTGATCGTGTAGGAATCATTGTGCTGAAAAAAGTTCTTCTGTACTGGAAATGTAGCGTGATCAAACTATGTCTAATTAGTGATACATTGACTTATATGTTTCTCAAGACTGCATTCTGTATTGAAGAAAGAGTTTTTTCTTAATTTGCGAAATAGATTGGCATTCTATTTCATTTCCTCTTTTGCTATCAGTACAATGTGTAATAGATTTAGTTTTAAAAGTCAAAGTAATAACACTAAATTGATGACAAAACGATTTCTGTCACCATTTTACATCAAGTTGAAGTGATGATTTTTGGAATAATCACTTGGAACGCTGCATGGATGTTAATGTTATGGTGGAAATAATCTCTAATAAGTAACTAAACCTTAATGTTTTATGCTGTATGGTTGAAAAAATTGGATTGGTTTCAAATCCAACGAGATGGGAGACTGTATCAGGTAACTTACCTGCCTCAGTCTCAAGCCATGTTGGGAAAATTTTGAAGTGAACAAAGAATGGACACATGTATTTCACGTTATTGAGACTGAGAGATTACGAAAGGAAAAAAGTTGTCATTTTGCTGTGTTAGTGTGAGTTCTAGTTTCCTGTTCATGGCGTTCTCATGGCTCAGGTTGAGGTTTTTAGGTTCAACAATGCTTGGAAAAGTCCTGTTGGCACACGAGCTCATCACTACCAGCGTGGTCTGCACTTGTTATGAGTTGATGCCCTTCGACTGAATTGGTGTTCAGCGGATGTTGGCATAGGTGATGAGTCATTTTGCAATGTTAGGTCAGTGGGGACCTACATGCACCATGTCCAGTGCCGACATCATCATATTTATAACATCTATCTCAGATCTCTCATGTTGCAGCTATATGCCTGCCTGGGCTGTCCTTCTTTTGTTCAGTAGGCCATGTACTGGTGGTTTTAATGAGCTCCTTTTGGGGGTGACCTCTACAAAGTTTTGCACCTTTAGCATTTGTCTCATTTCTTCATATATTCTAGGCATCCTTTCCATTGCTGTCAAATAGTAGCTGCCCTCAGAAAGTTAGGGACAGTGCGTCAACTTGTTTTTTACAGACTACTACATGTATCTCTTTAAGGACATAGTCTGCCTCCTATTTGGCCACTCAGTGATAGGAGTGTTGGAAAATTTCTCTTGCATGAGACTCCATCAACAAGACATGTATTTGGGTGACCTGAGTTTTACCTTCTTCACTTCATAATTATTTTGTTCACAACCATCTAAGTCAACTTATTGCTCTCTTTTCCTAGAACTCTATCAGAGTAATCTTGATGAGCTTGAAATACTTCATTGAGGCAATCATGCTAGGACCTCACTCATAAATGTTGTTGTTTTGAGCTCATGGGATATGCCGGATCTTGTACTGTTTAAAACTTTTGAGCTTATCCCTCACCTCTTGGAGATCCTACATCATCCTTGCACCTAGAGCTTGATACTCCTTTCTTGTTTTACAATGCATGGGAATCATTGTTGAATAGAAAGGGCTAACACCTTGATTTTGTTGGCCAGCTTTAGACTAGCTAGAGGTGTTTCATACTCTTCTTCATCCTTTGAGACCTTATGGTTGAACTAGAGAGCGCAAGCCGTATTGTCCTTTTTGGATGACCAAGGTTATTCCTGCTCAGAACCATGCTCATTGGTTGACCCATCAATATATATGCTGGGATTTTTATAAGGTTTTTGATAAATGTGTCTTGTTTTAGGTATGTTTGTTAAGTTTGACTATTTCCAATATTTTATTGACTGGTGCTAGTTTGTCATTATTAGGCTATTATTTGTTATATAATCTTGTTGTGTGAAGTGTAATTTTCACCAAACCTTCTAGCATCATTATTCTTATAACTTATATCCTCGCATGAACTTGAGTGTAAATTCTGAGGGTATGATCATTTTCTGGCAGTTCTATGAAGCATATACTTGATTAATTGTTGCAAGCCAAAAATTTGTGAAGCACTGAGAGTGCAGAAGCAGGAGTAATGACCAGATACCTTATTACCTCTTTACTGGATTTAACATATGACCAAATTCTATGATCTTATGGACTTGTCCTGGAGGAAAGGACCATTAGCAATTAAAACTGCTGATGTATGGAAAGGAAGCATTCCAGTATTGACGTTTGTTAGTTTTCTAAACACATGGAATATTCTTATGCTAGTAACATAGGCCCGAGGTTTTGGAATCGTTTGCCTTGTTAGTTAGATGTGCTATTTGCTAGTATTATATGGTTTTTAATGCTCTGAGGAATATATATTTCGTGTAACACACTTCCTGAATCTGTCCCTGGTGCCTTGTAGCCTGATGTGTGATGAACAATAGTCACGACTCACATGGGATCAAGATTGATGCCCGGTTCTCCATTTTCTTCTTCTCAGTCTTGTTTGTTTAGGATAAACATCGATGAAACTCTTCCTTTTGTAAATCGAAATGATTTCTTAATCAGGGATTGTTGGATTAAAATGTGAGGCAGTCTTTTTTTCTGGTGTATTTCTGATTCAGTGCCAGCATTCTGAAATCAGTGGCATATGGCATCACAAAAACTTTTCTTGATATTGCAGACTTGAACAAGATTAAATTACTGTTGAATCTCTCTTTCTACTGGACACACACACACATACGAGATATAGTCATTCATATGCATATGTATAGTGGTGAGAGAATGATTTTCTCAATAGGGGATAAGCAGGTTTCACTTGACATTGTATTAAACCGGGAATCAAAAGCTACAAAACGCATATAAACTTCAGCGTTCTTGAATACCTCAGAGGACTGGAACAGGCATGGTATGGTTCTTTGAGAACGTCTGGTGAAAAAGTTCTCATATACAGCCCCCTTTGAAGACACACTCTTATTTTTTCTTCAATCTGCCAGCACTATTTCCCTTGTGTCCTGGCTTGTCTTTTGCTGCTTTTATCTGCTCATCGCAAGGCTGCTTCTCTTCCTGTTGGTGATGTTTCTTACCCAACCGTTTTCTGTTATCTTTGTCCCCAGCATGACCAAAGACACCTGGACAGTGCCTTCCTCGAACATGGTTGCGTAGATGCTCTCGATGACTTGGGCCGGAAGAGGCATCAGACGCCATAGAGTCATTACTGTCGGTGTCTCCATCATCTTTAGCAGGAAGCCCATCTTCTTGTTTATCAATGCTGCCACTGTGGTCATCTTCATCATCAAGATTGTATTTGTCGATTGGAGAAGCAATGTACATTGTCCACCCAGACTCATTGCTGCTGCATTCTTCATTGCCTTCAAGGATTTTAGAAGAATCCATTGTTTCTAAGGTACACAAATATGTAATATATACTAAAATTTAATTAGGAAAAGCAAGTAGAATAGTTTTTGGCTATTGGACAATCTGCAATCTTGTTGACTGGAGGTAAATGCCCTCTTATCTAATTGACTCTTTCAGGCACATAAAACCATTACCATTGAAGAGATAGTACTGCTTAGCTGTCTCTGCACAATAAATTCTCTGGTCCTTATTACCAAGCGGTACTTTACAGGTGAACTAATCTTAGTTGTTAATAGATTTTACGCCCCTTTTTAAATTTGAAAGATGCTTGCTGCCTGGAAATTTCTCCTTCTTTAGTTACTCCTCTGTCAATTTCATAAATGTAAAGTAGCTTTTGTAATGGAAATACAGATGAGCCTACTCTACAAATGGCAAAGAATGTATAAGACTAATGATTTCAGATAGCTAGAAGACTCCCTCTTCGGTACTCTTTTATTGTGAAGAACTTTAATTCTTTATCTTGTCATCAATTAAGAGCAGCCTTTCATGTGATTATGAAGTGAATCCAACTGTGTTTTTGGCATCTTGTATCCAGTTAAATTTGATGAGAGTTGTCATATGGTTATTTGCAACACAGCCCTTCTGTTATGTCCTTTTGACTTATGTCTTGTCCTCATAAATCCGCATACATGTTTGTTGGGCAAGTGGGAAGGTCTTGAAGAAGGGCCGAGGAAGTGCAACTCTTCATTAACAGTGACAAACTTCACGATGTACAAAATTCGTAGTGAATTTGTTACACAACGAATGAACTTGTGATTTTCAGAAATGGATAATCAGAATTTTATTATTTTTCCAGATTTATGATCACATTCTTGGATTTTGCAGTGAATATACACATTCTTGAATGGAAAACGTTGCATCCAGATTGTATTCTCTGATGGTTCCATACTGGATTTTTCTTCCCTTGGCTTAATATCTGTTTGGATTATAAAAGAGAGGGCCATTTGCATTATTCTTGCCTCTTGAAGTGTCTATTCTTTTCTTGATTGCATAACGGCTCCAACTTAGTTCTTGGCTTCGTCTAAAACATAATTCTTGGGAGTTTCCGAAATAATGGGACAACATTCCTTAGCTGGGGATTTGATTAAAATTCTTGTCGATTTTCATTACATATTACAAGAACTTGAACATGGCAGAAGAACATTATTGTTTGTATGACGTTGACACTTGCGTTCATGTCTTTTCACGTATCTTGCCGTTATCACCTAGAGGTAGAAATGTTGGGTTTTGAATTAGATCCACAAGAGTTTTCTTATCAAAAAACTTATGTTGGCTCTCTTGTATAATTAAATGCGCGTATTTNGTTGGGTTTTGAATTAGATCCACAAGAGTTTTCTTATCAAAAAACTTATGTTGGCTCTCTTGTATAATTAAATGCGCGTATTTTTTCGTATGCAATGCAACATTTCTCCCCTAGTTTTTCACTTTTTCGACATTGTCATTTAATGGAGAATGAGATTAACTAGGGTTTTTTGAGCTCTGAATTGGAAAAAAATTAGCTAGTTATTATGGAGTAAACCATCGCCCCCCACCCACCCCAGTCAGCGAAAGAAAAAGCTGAGGAAAGGCCACCTCTTTAGTAGGTGAGAGTGTAGAGGGTGTTAACCTCATTTTACAAAGTGGCAGTACACCTAAAATTTTGGAGTAGACACACGGTTGCCTATTATTGTAATTACATTGTATAATAGAGTTATATAAAACACACACTGTTTGGACTATATTTTAATTTTAATGTATTTTTCTCTCTCTTTTTTTTTTAATCACACATTGTTCAATAAAATATTATTATATGTAAGCTTAAGACTTTTCCTTTCTTCAATCATAAATTCTTCAAAAAATTACTATTCAAAAATATATTTTTCCTAAAAATTAATTTTAATGGAGCTCAAATAGGGGCTTAATATAAATTTTAGAAGTGCTTCTCTTTTAGTTATCATGTCTGTTAAAAAGATATTGGATTATTGAGTTATTGTTTCAATAATCACCCAACTTATACGATGGTCACGGTTTATTCACTAAAGTTTAAAACGCTTCACAATGCTCACTGAATTTTATCCATTTGCACTCCATCCATCACCCTAAGAAATTCTTTACCTTATTTGATGATGTGTCTAACGAAAATCTGACATGGCAAGTTACGATTGTTAAAACAATTACAATTCAGTTAACTCATTATTTCATTACTCATCAAATTTACACTATGTCACAGTTTACTCATCGAACTTGAAAATGCTTTCCAATTATCACTCATCTTTAAGATATTGCACTCCATCCATTATCCTCTATTTTGTCCACTTCGTTGCTAAATTATAGTACGAAAATTCTGCGGATGAGTACAATCATGAAAAAAATTATAACTCAATCAATCCATCAACTCACAAAAATCACCATATGTAAAACTCGACTTCCACTCCCCCATAAACTTTTTTAAAGCCCAATTTTAGCCCAAAAAAAATCTTAGTGATAAGTGCACTATGTTACACTTATATAGGCCTTTAAATTAGAGTATTTGTTGAATATTTTAATGAATTATGTCTTAATTCTATATATATTGTGTTTGTTAAGTAAATATTGATGAAATTGGAGACAATGAACGAGAAAAAGGGTGAAAGTAAACAAAGTATGATCGAAAATATAAAATGATGATTCAAAATTACATATGATCAATTGAACGCAATTAAAAATTAAAGAGGTGAAATATAGACAAAGCATTTTCACAAATGAATTTTTAACCTAACATATTATGGTTCAGATTTTTAGCTTTAGATTGAAATCTATTTTTCGCACAGTACACATTCGAATTGGAAAAATAATATTTCTAAAAGAATTAGTGGGAACGCTTTATTGGGTTCTAAAGAACCTTATAAGGCCATGGAAGTCACGTTTCACATATGTTGATTTGGTAAGTTGATAGTTTTGTTGAGTTGTAATTTTTTTTAACACATATAATTTACCACGTGGAATTTTAATGCAAACATTAGCAACGAAGGAAAATGAAATATGACGGATGATTGACGAAGTGCAACATCTTAAAGATGAGTGACCATTGGAAAGCATTTTAAAGTTCAATAAGTAAATTGCGACAAGTGTAAGTTGGATGAGTAATGAAACAATAGTTTGGTTGAATTGTAATTTCTTTAATGGTCGTAACTTGTCACTTTAGATTTTCGTTAATCACGTCAGCAAATAAAGTAATGAATTTTCTAGAGTGATGGATGGAGTGCAAACAGATAAAGTTTGGTGAGCACTTTGAAGTTTACTGATTAAACCGTGACAATGGTATAAATGTGGTGATTATTGAAACAATTAACTCGAGTTATTGGTGTGTCGATAACTTCATCGAGCCTCGTTACATGGATTGCAAATTTAAATTTTATATTGAAATAGAGTCATTGTTTGGTAGGAATTAAAATCTATGTATTAATTTGAATTAAGAATAATCATTAGTTTTAATCACATATTTGATACGATTCGCAACTTTTAAACTACACATTTATTTAATTTTTATTAAAATTTAATAAAAATCTGATTTTAATTCCAGTGCATGACTTATGCAATTCAGTAATTGTAGGTGGAATTTATTTATTATTATTATTTTTTTTCAAAATCAAGTAAATGTGTTAATGTAAAATAACAAATTTGTTTTACTTTTTAATACCGTTCAATATTGAATTTTGACTGTAATAGGTTCATAATTAAATGCTTCAAAAGATGGTCTCTTTGACCATTAATTAATTAATTCATCATTTATTGGGCACAGCTTTGCATTAAGAAGTCTATTCCCAATTTGATGGTCTCTTTGACCATTAATTAATTAATTCATCATTTATTGGGCACAGCTTTGCATTAAGAAGTCTATTCCCAACGCATTACAACCAATTTTGCTACTTGCCACTATGATAATTTGATTTTAGACTTTCCTTTTTAATTTCATTCTATTTTTCAATATTTTTAGAATATGCAAGTGAAATTCCAAAATAATATTGCATATAAATATTAAATAATACTCCTTCAGTCGCATTTATATAGACCGACTTTTTTTTTTAATTTTCTTGTCTCAATTATATAGTCTTGTTTCTTTATTGAGAATGTTTTATTTTGTTTGTTTATTAATATACATTTATTTAATTTGTTTAGTTATAACTAATTTTCTCTACTTAATTTTGAAATTATACAAATATAAATAAGGGCAAACTATGAAGGTTTTTGTCCAAGATTTTTTTTTTTCAATAACATTAAATAAGATTCCTTAATCCATGTGAAAAGCAAAACCATCGATGGGACGAGGAGCATATATTTGGCTTTCCGTGAGACCATATACACCCATTATGATCTAACATTTATGCTCGAGAGCCTTACGATCTAATTTAATAGCAAAATTATTTTATTTGTTTTGGTGGTAGATTCCAAAATTTTGGATAAACTATGGTCAAACTCCACCAATGATTGTCAATTTCCTAACGAAATAATAGAGACAGACTTGAAGGGGGTGTTTGGATCTTGTTTAAGCGCTTTTTTTGTGCTCTATTAATGCAATTGAACACTGCGACTACGAGCGAAAAAGTTATAATTTCACTTTCATTAAGGCATTATTTTTTTCGTTGCCCACGAAATATGTTGTACAAATAGGTGAGACAGGAGAAAGAACGAATACTTTTGTCATCAAGTGACGATAGTAATTTTCAAATTACGAGAGTATTTGATACCCATTTTTATGGATTTGAGAATAGTAGATTAACAGAGAACGTGTGGATGAAAAGTTTTTGATTTACGTGTAATATTATTTTAATGAAGAATGTGTGATTGAAAAGAAGAGAGGAAAAAATATATTTTGAAAAAAATGAAAATCAAACGGGAACAAATTCACATCATGTAACAACGTGGATTAGTACCGGACGTCGTTGAGAGCCTTTCTTCCTAAATAAAAATAAGTAAATTATTTTAGTTTAACACCATTAATGATTAAATAAGTTATTTGTAATTTTAGGCAAACATGCCTCCGCCACAGACAAAACTGCACTCTCGTGGACCTAAAACAAGGTCAATATATCCATCTTAAGGAAAAATAGGTCCATTTGAATCGCATTTTTATCAAAAATACATTTTTCATTCTTTTTTTTAGTAGTTAATTCTTCGTTAAAATAATATTATATATAAATTAAAAAATTTATTTTTTATCTACACATCCTCCATCTAAAATTCATTTTTATTAATATACCTTTATTTAATTTGTTTAGTTATAACTAATTTTCTCTACTTAATTTTGAAATTATACAAATATAAATAAGGGCAAACTATGAAGGTTTTTGTCCAAGATTTTTTTTTTTCAATAACATTAAATAAGATTCCTTAATCCATGTGAAAAGCAAAACCATCGATGGGACGAGGAGCATATATTTGGCTTTCCGTGAGACCATATACACCCATTATGATCTAACATTTATGCTCGAGAGCCTTACGATCTAATTTAATAGCAAAATTATTTTATTTGTTTTGGTGGTAGATTCCAAAATTTTGGATAAACTATGGTCAAACTCCACCAATGATTGTCAATTTCCTAACGAAATAATAGAGACAGACTTGAAGGGGGTGTTTGGATCTTGTTTAAGCGCTTTTTTTGTGCTCTATTAATGCAATTGAACACTGCGACTACGAGCGAAAAAGTTATAATTTCACTTTCATTAAGGCATTATTTTTTTCGTTGCCCACGAAATATGTTGTACAAACAGGTGAGACAGGAGAAAGAACGAATACTTTTGTCATCAAGTGACGATAGTAATTTTCAAATTACGAGGGTATTTGACACCAATTTTTATGGATTTGAGAATAGTAGATTAACAGAGAACGTGTGGATGAAAAGTTTTTGATTTACGTGTAATATTATTTTAATGAAGAATGTGTGATTGAAAAGAAGAGAAGGAAAAATATATTTTGAAAAAAATAAAAATCAAACGGGAACAAATTCACATCATGTAACAACGTGGATTAGTACCGGACGTCGTTGAGAGCCTTTCTTCCTAAATAAAAATAAGTAAATTATTTTAGTTTAACACCATTAATGATTAAATAAGTTATTTGTAATTTTAGGCAAACATGCCTCCGCCACAGACAAAACTGCACTCTCGTGGACCTAAAACAAGGTCAATATATCCATCTTAAGGAAAAATAGGTCCATTTGAATCGCATTTTTATCAAAAATACATTTTTCATTCTTTTTTTTAGTAGTTAATTCTTCGTTAAAATAATATTATTTATAAATTAAAAAATTTATTTTTTATCTACACATCCTCCATCTAAAATTCATTTTTCCAAAAAAAAAAAAAAAAAAAAGGTGTCAATTAATCCAATTTTTATATTTTTTACTTTTTCCGTAAATCTCAAGGAGTTGAAAACGAACAATCTCTCACTCATGGTCTGCCCCGATCACACACCTTTACATGTAGACCATAAATAATTGTACAGATAGATATTTCATTTAGTTTGTGAGATGGGGTTTCAAGAATTCGTGAATTCCATTGACTGGGAACATGAATCCTACACAGAATATAAAGATTTCATAGTGCTTCCAATTTTCGCAATCTTTTTTCCTACAGTTCGGTTTTTCCTTGACAGATTTGTATTTGAGGTACTTTATCAGCAAATTTGCAGTTTTTAACTGGGTTTCTTTAATTTATTTCATTTTTTATTGCATAATTGGATCAATCAAGGAAGCTTAAAACTTGATGTTTCGATTTTCTTCTGGATTCTATTTGTACCGTGATTGATGGCCTTTTTTTCATTTTTCAATTTTGTTTTCTGGTTATTTTGGTATGTAGTAGATGTTATATTTGTTGGTGCAAGCTTTCAACTATCTTGGATTTGATAGTAAAAAGCTAGTTTAGAATCTTCATTAAAGGAGAAAATGGGATAAAAAGCTTTAATGCTGAAGCTAATGGTGCTTGTTGACCATTGAGTCTATTCATAGAGAGCGTTCGTTCCTCAGTGTAGCTCGGTCATCCTGCACTTGTACTAGAGCTTCTGCCCATAAAGTAAATCATTTCACTAATGATCCAACCAGTTGGGAGAGAATCTCTATATTCCTCCTTCTGTGAGCAATTCTTTCTCCCTGAATGGAGCATATAGATGTGCTCTTTAACATTTCTTTATGAATTAAGGAAATCAGGGTGGAGCTGAAGAGTTTGTTTTGAAGCAATGACATCTCAAAACGATAGAGCATTTTGACCACAAGTTGTATTGATGGTGATAGCAGAGAATTTCTTATTACTGTCTTAAGTCGTGATACATCATTTTAGTAATGGATAAACTTACTAATATATCCAAAACAAGGTTCCTTGGTGTATGCTATTTGCTGATTACATAGTTTTAGTAAACAAGAGTAGGAGGGAGTTAAATCTTAAGTTGAAAATTTTGGAAAAGTGTTCTAAAATTTAGAGGTTTTAAGTTAAATAGAACTAAGATGGAATTAATGGAATGTCCTTTAAGTAATTGTAGGAATGGGGACAATAGCGGAGTTACTATAGAGGTTTGCGTTATCCTGAAGAGTTAATGTTTTAAGTTATAATGAGGAAGAAGAATTGAAGGGAATGTAATGCATAGAATTTAAACTACTTTAATGAGCGACCTTTAATAAAACATGTCAGAAAAGGGAGATGTAGATCGAAACTAGCATGACTTGTTGTGACTGCAAAGGATCAAGTTGCATTGGATCTTCTAGTAGAAGTACGATGAACTGAATTGAATGGAGAAAAATCAGTAATGTTGCTTATCCCAAATTTATTTGGAATAATGCTTAGATTGTTGTTTAACGGATTAATCTATTCAACACTTGAAGATCAAGTATAATACTGTGCAAATCATGTTTTCAGTTAAATGTGAAATCCTTGGATAAGAAATAGGAGTTATGCTGATTGTTAAGCGTAAAAGAAAATTATTTGGAAATACTTGACCATGTGAATAAGTGAGAATTCCAATTCATAAATGTAACGCAATGTTAAAATATGGTGCCACATATATCTTCGCAGTTGAGATTAGGAAGAAATTAGACGGAATTTCATTTTTCACACATGCACTCAGAAATCAAGACAAGACATTGGCATAGTTGATCAAAACCGAGTTTTGGTTACATGCACAGGATCTGACTCTAGGGTAATGGTGCAAGGAGACTTGAAATGGACACATTCAACATTCTCTTCATTCTTCTATGGGTGATGTTCTTGTGGGGAAATATAGGTCTATAACTAATATTTTATGACACGGGATCTGCTACATTATGCAATCACTTTTCTTCTGCTTTTGAAATTATTTGCTGTTCCTTTAACATTTAATTCACCCTTAGCTTACTGATGATCAGTACTTCTGGGGATCTGCATCACAGGTTTTTACTGAATAAACTGACATATCTTCATTATTATCATAACAGGCATTGTGATATTTTTTCTCCTTGTTTATTTTTTTCCTTAAATGTGCCATGTCATAGGGTATGAGATGAGAAGTGGTGTAAGAACTTGTTCTGCACTCTAATAGCTATTGTGTTTCGAATTTAATGGGATTGGAATTTAGTACCACTGCCTAACTCCACCAAGATATTTGTTTATGATCATACGTGAACATTCCTGCTCTCAGCAGCGAGTTGTACTAAGTTAAACTTCACTGATTTTTCCACCCTTAAAATACTTTTTCTCAATTTAGACTGGGTATACATGTTGCAGAAATTGGGCAGACGAATAATATTTGGAAAAGGGATGCAAGTGGTGGAAAATGAGACAGCCGAACGAAGAAAGAAGATACGAAAATTTAAGGAGTCAGCATGGAAATGTGTTTACTTTCTTTCAGCTGAGATCTTGGCACTTCTTGTAACATATAATGAACCTTGGTTCAGAAACACCAAATACTTTTGGGTAGGGCCAGGAAATCAGGTCTGGCCTGACCAGAAATATAAGTAAGATTTTATTTTCCTTTCTTCTCTTGGGTACATATCATCACAGCTATTCGCTGGGGATAGGAATGATCAGCCTTGAAGCTATAACCTGGTGCATCACTAGCCTTTGCTGGGCTTGTGGTCTCCGATAATAAATTTGTAATGCTTGATGCTAATAGTTCTTTAGTTCAGCTGCCACACTCACTTCATTAGAAATATAAGTTGAACAAGGTTTGATTGAAAAAATTCATAACACTGTCTGTCTTGTGATACTCAGGTTGAAGCTGAAAGGTCTGTATATGTATGATGGTGGATTCTACACGTACTCCATATTTGCTCTGATATTTTGGGAAACCAGGCGCTCTGATTTTTGGGCTTCTATGGGTCATCATGTTGCAACTTTCATCCTAATCGTGCTTTCTTATAAATTCAGGTGTGTTTTAGAGGTGAGCCTTTAAATACTGAGCTGAGTATACCTCTTGAAAGTATACTGACTGCTAAAAAAGAACTAAACAAGCATTCTATCACTAGAAAGGATAACTGATAGAGTAACCTCTTCAAATATTGCACCATTTGAGATTTATTTTTGCAAGCTTATGCAACCTGACAGTAGTTTGGGACTTAATATTGCTAATATCACATCATATAACTGAGGTTAATTAGAAAAGGTTTCATTTATGTCATATTTCTTCTTGTTTTAGGTTTGCCCGTGTTGGTTCAGTTGTTTTAGCTCTTCATGATGCTAGTGATGTATTTCTGGAAGTAGGAAAGATGTCCAAATACGGCGGCACAGAAACATTGGCTAGCTTTTCGTTTGTTCTATTTGTCTTGTCCTGGGTTCTACTACGTCTCATTTACTATCCATTCTGGGTCCTTTGGAGCACAAGGTCAGCTTTGTTATTACTTTATCACCTATTCTGTTCTTTGAAATCAAGGTACCAGTATGAAGATTGTTTTGGGTATAGAATTAAATTGAAAATCTTGACTCTCTAGATCATGGTGCTCTTATGACATAAGTTACATTGTGATGTATTTTGTAGAAGTAATAACTGTTCACTAGCTGTCTTATTGATATCAAGTTATGTTGATTTATTGATCCATCATCCTTGAAAGTATCAGATTTTAATCTTGCCAAATTTCTAAGCTGTTATATGGTTTATGGATTCTTTATTAACTGCTCAAACCATAGTTTACTAGAGCTGCTAATTAACTCAATTTTGTTTATGAACTTGGGTATATGTGTATGTTTCTGGTTTAGTGAATGGAAGAGAGAAGAAATTTATAATATATCCAGCAAAAAGTATCTCCACATTTCTTATTACAAATTCAATTCTTGACTTGAGAGTACATAATAGTTAGCTCGATCATTTGATATGTTGGTTTAGCCATAAGAAAAGGAAAAAGAAAAAGGGCGTGGGGGAGAACAGAGAGCTAGCATATTTGTGTTTAGAACATCTTTTATCAACTCTATGAATATTAGTCTCCATAATTTCATTAAGTTCACTTAGCATGGCAACTGAGCTTGAAAATCTCGAGATGATTTGCCACTTATACTTTTTAGATGCATAGACGTTATAGGCACTACTACACATTCTTGAAATTAATGATTTTAACAAACTAGCTCTCTCTTGATATTTGATGCTGGACCCTCTTATGGTCAGGGTCGGCCCTGAAAGTTTTGAGACCCTAGACGAAAAATTATTGTGAGGCCCCTACACATCATTTTTTTACAAGCGTATTAGCATCGAATTTGGTCGAATCAAACAATTTTTCATGATGAGGAACATTATACCTATGGTACTCACTCACCACTTGAGTCGTCTGAGAATCAATTTTCGTGTTGAAGAAGGAAAAATCATATTTACCATTAAATTAAAAATATTTTATGATAAACTACGAATTTTTTTATATATCATATATACTACCTATTATATAAAAGCAACACTAGAACTATTTTATTGTAACTAATTAGTCTTCTTGGAATTCCTTAATTCCTTAAACAACCCATTTATTAGCCTTGAAATGTTCCATAAATCAAGCTAATTTATGCTATTTTGCTTTATTAAATTATTCTCTTTTCCTTAAAACTAAATGTAGTTTCAGAATACAAAAAAGTGGGTAGTAAAAATGAAATTAGAATTTATATTAGTACCAAATGTAATTTGCATATTTCATACGGGATAATTATTTTGGGCTTTAAAAAAATTATTGAGGCCCCCTTATAGCAAGAACTGGGCCTGCTTCTGGTTTAATGAAATATAGTCAAAAAAATTATTTCGTGGACAATATAAACAGATATATTTGCTATTTGAGAAAATCAATCACAACCTGAAAGACTAATTGTACATTGGCAGTTTCACTATGTATGAATTGAGTTATGAGTGATGCTTCTTGTATATCATTGAGTACAGATTGATGACATGGGGGAAAAAGAGGAGGGAAGAAAAGGAAGTCAGTTAATATAATCCACATTATCAATCTGTACTTCAAACTACACGATGACATACAAGTAACATTACTCTAGAATTATGGTCTTCTTGATAAAATTTTGTAGAATAGTGATTTATTGATGAAAGGAAATGTGCGATATTTCATTACCTTTATATTCTTGTTTTCTATTATGTTCTGCTTTTGTAGCTATGAAGTTATCCAGACCTTGGATAAGGAGAAACACAGAGTGGATGGACCAATCTACTATTACATCTTCAATTTTTTCCTTTTCTTCTTGCTCGTTCTCAACATCTACTGGTGGGTGCTGATGTATCGGATGCTTGTCAATCAAATCCATGCTAGAGGCCACGTCAGTGAAGATGTTCGATCCGGTAAGGAAAATCACATAATCCAGATGATATATAGAGTTTTCAAATTGATTGTGAATCTAGAACACCTACTATATTTTGCACAGATGTATTCTGCAACTGGTACTAGTATTTGTTTAATTTAAATATCCACTAAATGTGTGAATCGTCCTTCAGTCAAGGAAAATGCAGCAGCCATTAGTTGTTTTGATTCCGTTTTATGATTCCATTATAAAATTTGGCGCTGATCTGCCAGTTATCATAAATGAACTATGTCATTCATGGCCAAGCAGTGGACTTGTTAGTTAATTCTTCACATTTCCTTGTTCCCGTGCAGATTCTGAGGATGAAGATCAGCATGAAGATTGATCATAAAAGCAGATTTTCGTCATTGTTTCATTCACTTGATGGTGAGTAACAAATTGTACTAGAGCATTTAAATAAGTACTGGTGACTGTTCTTGAAAACGCTCAAAGAAGCTGCATTTTACTAGGCTTACTGGTCGAATGACTAAATAAATTTTGCATCTTCTCCCGTGCAGATAAATGAACTACATGACCCAATATTCAAGTGATATTTTTATGACAAAAATTTTCTTTCGATTCAACAGAACTGTGTAAAACAGGATTTGCTTTGACCTGACCAGTCGAAAAGGTCAGAAGTCGAGAGAGAAGGTTGATTTTTCATTACGAATGTTTATGCAATTTATCAATCTCAGAGCCTCGTAATGTTTTATTTACTACTGCTATTTTCCTTAAGGAAGATTTATTTTTGATGGTTTCTGGTATTTATAAAAAGATTTCTTGGAAGATTTATTTCTTAATTATTATTATTATTATTTTTACTTGGATTAGTGTTTCTGAAACTTGCGAGTTTTTTCTCAAGAGAAGAACATATGCATCAAGCAGAGCCTCGTGACTTGATTGATATGGAGAACTCTAAAGTTATGTGGCAATCACAGTTTCGTGTCGGTGAAGGGCCTTGTAGTGGAGTCCACGTTCGATAGTCATTATTTGAGAAAAATAATGTTTTGAATAGTGAGTTGTTAGCGAATATATGGTTAAAAAGTAGCAAAAAAATTTGATTCTATATGTAGAATATTTTATTATGTGAATATATGATTAAAAATTAATATATGAAAAAAAAAATTCAATTAGAGGCCATCAAACATGGGCTAAGTATAACGTAAGTAAATAAGGCTTAATTAAATGCTTTGTTATTTTGAAATTCTGATTATTCTTCAAATTAATCTAAAAAATAATGTGCATTTAAAAAGGGGAAATGCCATTTCTACCGTGTATTTTTACATAGGCGTCAAAGAATTGCTAGATGGAAAGAGAAATTGTTTTTTAAATTATTCAATAACAATGTGTCGTGTGGTATCTAACTTCTAATAAAAAAGAGAAGGAGGGTCTACCATTCATGCAATAATAAATGAATTCAATTTTACTATGCATGATGTTATTTTTTATTTTGTTTATGTCAAACAAATATTCTTCTACACATCATATCACTAGCATTAAAAAATAATAATTTTAGTAAATATAAATTTTCCAAAAAAAAAAAAATCATCTTCGCACATGAACTTTAAAAAAATAATAAATGAACTCTCCGCATAGTGCAGAAAGATGACAAACCATGTGCGGAGTAAAAAATGAAGAAAAAACTCTCTGCATAGTGCAGAGAGATGGCAAATCGAGTACAGTGTGAAGTAAAAAAATAAAAATCTCTCCGCATAGTGCAGAGAGATGGCAAATCGAGTACAGTGTGAAGTAAAAAAATAAAAATCTCTCCGCATAGTGCAGAGAGATGGCATACTATGCGGACAGTTTGCACAATCTGTGCAGACACTGTCCTGACAAAGTGCGGAGTAAAAAAAGCAAAAAAAAAAAAGTTTCACACAGAGCGGAGAGTTGGCAAACTCTCCGTACAGTGCGAAGTTAAAAAAAACCTCTCCGCACAATGATTGTCATGTGCGTTGCACGAATTTTGCATTTATCGTATTTTTATTAGTATTTGAATTTTAGTTTTCTTTTTTTTTATTTTTGAAGCAATATCTAGAAATATTTCCATGATATAAGAAAATAATTGCAAATTATTTTTATAATTGCATAACAGTATTATGTCATCTAAAAAGAATATACTTGTATATTTCATACTTGAATAAGGAATATATGAGATTATACAAATTATTTTGCTTGTATTCTTTGATAGTATTGATATGATTGAATTGAATGCGAAGATTATATTTCTAAATTTTGTGTAATTCAATATTAAAAAATTGAACATTGAGCACCATATTCATATTTATTTATATTTAGTGCTTCATATATATTTAATATTTATTTTATATTTATGTTGAAAAAATAAAAATTTGAATTAAATTTTTTTTAAATTTCAATTTGGTAAGTAAATCTATGGTGTTCAGCATTCTCGGTATTTGTAAGTGCAAAAATCAATATATAAAAATACAGTAAGATGCAAATACGGTAAGCAGTATATACAGTAAGTTGCAAATACGGTAGGCAGCATATACGATAAGGTGAAAATACGGTAGGCTACAAATACGGTAAGCTGCAAATACAATAGACAGCATATACGATAAGCTGTATATATAAATTTATAATTTGTTATAAATGTATAAAATTTATTTAATATTGAATTTCTTAAGTACTAAATGCTGTAATTTAATATTATTTCTTTTTTTATAATTGTATTTCTAAGAGTTAAAAAAAATGGTTACGAAATTGCTAATTTTTAAATGTGTTTTTTTGTTGAAGATAAAAATGATTTTTTTTATGTTATTTGTAAAAAAATATATATATATTGTAATTTTATTAACGTAATAAGAAGATTTATTATGCATTTTCATTTTTTACATTTTGTAAAGAATTTTGTTTATGATAATTAACAAATACTTCCACACAAGTATCATGCCAACAACATTAAAAAAAAATAAAAAAATTAGTACATATAAATTTCATGAGACAAAAAAAAAAAATCTCTGCACATAAAAAAAGAAAAAGAAAAAAGACTCCGCAAAGTGAAGAGAGATGTCAAATTATCTCTTCGCATAGTTTGAAGAGAAAAACAAAAACTCAGGACTTTATCTACAAGTTCCAAGAGGCATTTTCTCAAACAACTTTTGAGCAATGCATTGAACACTTTAATTCCTTCCCTACAACCCGAAAGTATAATTTCATTGAAAATTGTATCCGCTTTTAATGTCTAAAAGCTATTATCAAGCAAGTATAAAATATTAAATTTGGGTGGTACCCTAGAGCCTCCATTTGTGAAAGCAATACCATGGTACAATCAATGTCCCCTTCTTTGCACAACTCACATATTGTTTTATTGTATGAATCACGAGAAAGCTCTTTTCCAATACGATAAATTAGATTTGCATGCTCAGAAATTGAGTCGTGACTGGAATTTCAAGAATACATAATTGATTTTGAGCCATGTTTTTCTACTCTGTTTTGTTGTATATGCGAAAAATTTACAATCATGAAATTTGACTTGTAATTAAGGAATTTGAAAACAACTCTCCGCACTGTGTGGAGAGTTTTTTCTCTGTATTGTGCAGAGAGCTGCTTTGTCGTCTCTCCATACTGTGCGGAGAGTTTTTTTTAAACTCTGCACTGTGCGAAGAGTTTGTCAACTCTCCACACATGGTTCAACTCTTTTCGCACTGTGTGGGGAGGTTTTTTTCTCTCTGCACTTTTTTTATATTCTACACATAATTTAACTCTCTACGCACTGTGCGGGGAGTTTTTTTCTCTCTGCACAGTGCAGAGAGTTTTGCTATGGTGCGGACCAACTCTCCGCACTGTGCGAAGAGATTAACTATCTTCGCACAGTGCGGAGAGTTTTTTTGCTTCCGTACTGTGCGGAGAGTTGATTTGTCATCTTTCCGCATTGTGGGTAGAGATTTTTTTTTTTTTTTTTTAACTCTACACCGTGCGAAGAGTTTGCCAACTCGAGGCACACGGTTCAACTCTCTCCGCACTGTGCGGATAAGTTTTTTTCTCTTCGCACATTTTTTTATTTTTTATTTTTACTTCGCACTTGATTCAACTTTCTCTGTAGTTTGCAGAGAGTTTTTTTTTTCAATTTTACAATATTGAATTACACAAAATTTAAAAATATAATTTTCACATTCAATTCAATCATATCAACACTATCAAAGGATACAAGCAAAATAGTTTGTATATTTCATGATTTCTTATTTAAGCATGAAATATACAAGCATATTTTTTCTAGATAATATATTGTTATACAATTGTAAAAATAATTTACAATTATTTTCTTATATCATGAAAATATTTTTAGATATTACTTCAAAAACTTTCCAAAAAAACTAAAATTCACACACTAATAAAAATACGATAAATACAAATTCGTGCAACGCACGTGATAGCGACTAGTGTTATAATTTTTACAGAGAAACTAAACTTGACAAAACTAATTTAATTTTTGACATAATTTATTTAATCATGTTATAATTAATTTTATCAACTAGTTCAAGATTAGTTTTGACAATTTATTAATTTTCAACTCACCACGATTTGAATAGTAACTATTTCAAATCATTTTGCAGTAAAAATATTTTTTTAATTATATGTTATTTAGATCTTGTTTGTTCCCATCTTTAAAAGAATGAGACGTAGAATATAGCCGTTACGAGACTTTCACAAAAAAATAAAAAATCGAATATGATGACTTAGACTAGAGAATGAGAATCAAACAATAACTTAAAAATGTTACTATTAAAATACCTTTTTTTTTTCCATGATAAACTCTAATTTTTATTGTTAAAATCAGTAATTTTATACTTTCAGTGTACAAATTGCAAAAATCAATATAAAAATGGCTCTGTAAATTCCTCCGCAAGAAATAGCATTTTAAGCTACCTAGATTTCCCATTGGATTGTTGCTCTCAGTCTAGTGCCGCCGCCTCTCGCCGTCTGAGTCGAATCTCCGCTGCTCTCCACCACCGCCGAAACGGTTCGGTTCTAATCCTCAACACTTCCTTCTTTCCAAGACAGCTATTCTTCATCGGCTTTTACAATATTTTTCTTAATTTAATTAACGTTTCGCAAAATTAAAATATACTGATTTGTGTTATCCAATTCCACAATCTACTTACTTATTGAGCTGTAAAACATAGGTACAATTGTAGAATATTTTGTGTCCTTATGATGATTTCACGAGGTAAAAATGCGATGTTTTAGGTAGGCATTTTAACGGAACAAGACTAGCTTCATAAATTATTTAACCCATCCCAATTTGATTAGCTCTAATAGTTGGCATCTCTGCCCGATTTGCCTACCAATTCTTGTAGCCAAAAAAAAAAAAAAAAAAAAAAAAAAAAAAAATTGAAAAAAGAAACTCTGTAACTAATTTTGTAAAAAGTCTAATTGTATATCATTTAATTTTTTTCTTGTTTTGTGTGTCAGTCTATTTCTCCATATATCCTACCGCCTTTCTGAGAAAAATTATGTCTACAGAAATGTTAATTAATCATTGTTTCTTTTTATGATTACTTTGCATTAAAAAATAATAATAATTAGAAATTAGGTTATTGACTTTGTTTCAACTTCCTATAATGTTGTTTGTTTGTTTTGTTTCCCATTTTTTGCTCTGCGCACTGCAAATTTTGCAATTTTCTAGCTTTCTTAAATCGCGCCAGTGCTGCTTGCATAAGGTGTGCATGTGATGCAAAAAACTTGTACCATTATGCTGATAACTGATACATCGATAACATTTGTTTATTAGATCAATGTATTTTAGCTTCTCTGTTGTTTATCTCCATACCGTGAAAAAAAAAAAAAAAAAAAAAATCTTTAGAATGCACCTGGTGGCATGGAATTGGAATTAGACCTCATTTCAGTCAGGTCTTAACTATATGTGGAAGAATTTTGTGTCCATGTACAAATTAAAATGCTAATACTTAATACTTGAAGTGGATGTTGAACAGAGTAGTGAGTTTAGAATAATGGGAAGCTTGCTTTCTAATTGTTTTGAAACCTTCAATTGTATACTTGCTGCTTGCTTATCATTTTGCTCACTTGATTTATGATTTTGGCATGTCTCAATGTATGTTTGTCTGGCAAACAGAAGAGATAAGAAATGGATCCTTTACTACATTGTAACATTGATGTATGTATCTGAATATTAGCTAATAGTTGTCTCTTACTGTATGCTCTAATACATTAAAAAAGATTACTTCGATTTTAATTTTATATTTTCAACATTTCTTTGGCAAATAATGGATGGGTTTATTCAAAACAGTTTCAGATGTTTTATGCACTCATTAGCAGCTATAATGGACTTTTGCTGATTTAGTCTACAATGATATTTAACCATTAACGGACATTACTTGGAGGATTGTACTTCATTGATGCTCTCATATTGAAGATATCCATGAACAATAGGTTTACGATCAAATATGCTAACGATGTGCCTTCTTACATGATTTGTCAGGGTGTAGACTAGGATAAAGAAGAGATGGATGACGTGGTAACTGACATTCCTCCGCCATCAAGATTTATGTTGGAAGATCTTAACAATTTCACTCCTCCGTCTCAACCCCTTCCATCTCCATTCCTAGTGTTCTCTACTCTTGATTCCAGTAAAACCTTTCGTCCTTCACTTCTCATTGTTGCAATGTCTTCCCCGTCTCTTCACTTCTTACACCATCTCTCCCCCAAAACATTAATTGGCACGCTCGTTCTTCCGGAGTTCCCTTTCTCTGGCAACTCCATGGAACCCTCACTTGGTGACAAATCATGCAATATATATGCCCTTAATCATTCTGATAAACTGATTATGATTGCTCTAGTTCAGTACTCGGTTACTGCAGAGAGATCCCGTGCAGTGGCAAAGTTGCTGATTGGTGAACAGATCATACCAGAGAGGGTTTTGATTTTGGATTCTGTTCAACGCCATAACTTTCGTGGTAAACTTTCACCAGATGATGTATTTGCAGTCAAGTTGGAGACATCATTGGAAAGAAGTTCGGATACTGGATATTCACCACTGATAAAAGGTTTGGATTATTTCCCATCAGGAAGTGTGGTGGATGGCCTGGCTGCTGCTCTGTTGAGTCAATGTCAATTGAAGAAGATCAAGGGGACACTCTGTGTTTCATGGCCGCATTTCGGTGTTTCAGTCATTTCACTGATTAAGTCTCTTCTGCTGAGGGATGTTTTGGCTGGCATAAGTACTAGTAGTGATGTTGATTTGGAGAACGAGTATTTAAGGTTTAGTCGTAGCAAGGATCATCTTGATTCTGAGTTGTATACTTGATCTGTTAGTTTTTAGGTGTTTCCATAACAACCTTACCTCTCATCTCTCTTGTTGTCTTCCAATTTTCTTTCTTTTATTTTGAGCAAAGCTTGCCTTTGAGCAATGCATGTATTGTGAGACTGCACTTGTTTCTGTTCCTTGTTTTTGTTACACATTTCATGATCTTTGTGGACTTCCATTGAAACCCATTCCTAAATACCTGCCAATTTCAGTTTGATTCAAAATGGTTATTATGAATTATTAACTGGGGGAAGAAATGTGGAGATTGAAATATCTTTGTTTAACAAGCACTCTTAGGATGATGCTTTCGAGTGGTTAGAGCAATACAATTCAATATTTTGATGCTGTTGAAATTTAATTTTGAAAAAACAGCACTTTATGCAATTTGTATTGTGTTTTTGAAGATAATGTCTTTTCCAATTTTACAAAAGAATTTATCAGTGATGTTCTTCATGTTTCTGTTTGATCTTCTCTTTTATAACTGTGTACATCGAGAACTGGCTGAAACTGAAAGATGCAGGTTTGGTTTTGGGAAGCTATTGGATGGGAATCGGGTATGGTTGTGTACAGCTTTTTGCAGAATCAGTCTGTCTGTTTCATTTTTTGACTTTATGCAGTTAATATCGAAGAATGGTGTTTTAAAAACACCTAGAGTTTCAGTCATCGATGTCACCGGTGTTGGGGTTAAGGTGGTGGATTTTGTGTAAATGATGTTGTAAGAGGGTCGTGGTGGTGGTGGACTGGCTATTGAGGTGGATGGGTAGTAAATTTGTGGGAGTTGCTGGAATTCACCACTTGTGAAGGTGGCGGCTGTAATGGCTGTATGGGATTGAAAGAGGGCAGCGGTGGCAGTGGATTGAGTGTTGTAGCGGATACGGTTGTGATTAGAAAGGGTAGGTGGTGCTGGTGGTGGATTGATGGTTGGACATGTGAATATTGGTGGTAGAATTGGGAACACTTCCCGGCATAGTCGTTTTTGGCTGTTTCATTCGGTTTATTGCTAGATTCAAATCATTCAATGGATCTAACATTATGCTAGGTCTATTCTTCTCTTCTAACTCGCTTATTGATGTTGCTTACTTTATAAAAATGAGTCTCTTTAGTTTTGGATTGATGACTGATACGAAAAAATTGCATTTGCTACTTGAGGTGAAAAGCTTTTGTCAGCTTACTAATCAATCAACGCTTTTTTGTGGTTCCTTTCGGGTCATTGTTAAAAGATCTAAAAGAATCTCTAACTTGTTTCATTGGGATTGTCACTATGAAAAGGAGTCTTCTGTTACAAAAAGGCCTTTGAACATTCAAAAGCATAGTTAGTTAATTAGACAAGACAATGCGTCCAACGAACAAACTCATTGTTATAAAGCAGTTGGGAAAATGTAGCAAATGTGTTCGTACCCTTAGTCAATAAAAATTTTGAAAAAATTCTCACTTTGGACCCTTATCATACAAGAAACCAGGCCAAAAATTTCTTTATGTTCGATACTCGGAAGTTTGAAAGGGGAAAGCATAAACTTTTTAGCAAGTAGAATCGAAGCATACTGTTGAACAAATACGTGTAACTATTGAGTTCTACTATGGCAAACTCTTATAAATCCGGAAAAATATCTGGTTTTTTGCCCAAATTTTACGTTTCTATAGCGCATTTGTACTTTCTTTTATCCTTCTGATTTATTTGGTAATTTTGGTTTGGGAGATCTCACCAACCAAGATCAACGTAGTTACATCCTCTCTTGACTAGTGACATTTTTTGCATAATAATTTTTCTTCTCACGTCAATTATTTAAGCTCACAATCTCCACCAATTTGTCACAAATCCATTCATCGGGTAATACCTTGCTCTCACGTTCAAGTGTTCGATCGTCCCTTTTGTTCAAGAATCGCAAACTCGGAACATTAATGGCATTTTTTCTTAACTCCAAGCATATTGTTTTGCAATGTATGTTATTAGTTCTTAGCATTGCTTGTTCGTGCTTGCATGCTAGTGAACATCCTTTGACGTTAGATTACTACAAATCTACATGCCCAACTGTTCTTGAGATTGTTAGGAAAGAAATGGAATGTGCAGTGCTGTCTGATCCGCGTAACGCAGCCTTGATTTTACGTCTACATTTCCACGACTGCTTCGTTCAGGTCTTCATTCTCTTCATTTATATCTGGAAACCTTTCTTCGAATAGATCGAGTTTTGGAAGATTTTGAGTTTTTTTTAATGATAATCGAGCTGCAGGGTTGCGATGGATCGGTTTTGCTGGACGATACCATCACGCTTCAAGGAGAAAAGAAAGCACCAGAAAATCTACATGCTTTAAAGGGATTCAGAATCATTGACAGGATCAAGAACCGGCTCGAATCGGAGTGTCCCAAGACGGTATCTTGTGCTGATATTCTCACTATTGCAGCTAGAGATGCAGTTCTTCTGGTATAATTACTTAAATATATCAGTTGCAGCATTTTATAATTTTGAAAAAGAAAATGATAAATTTTTAAGCAATTTTGAAGATAATGCTATTTTTCCTTGTGTATGCAGGTTGGTGGACCTTATTGGGATGTTCCTTTAGGCAGAAAGGACTCAAAAAATGCAGGCTATGAGCTTACAGAAAGAAATCTCCCCAAAGCAAATGATGGACTGCTCTCCATCATTTCAAAGTTTATTTCTCAGGGTCTCTCGATCACCGATATGGTAGCTCTTTCTGGTAGGCCCTACCATATAACTATTAAGACATTATTGACATGTTTCATGGGGACAATTCAATAGTACATGACAATTTTAAGAATATACATGTCAATTTTATCAAGTAGTGCATTCCAAACGTACTATTCTAGGAGATTTCTGCTACTTGTACAGAAATATAGGTTGACCCTTGATTTGAATTTCTGAAATTTAAATCAAGGGACAAATGCATGCGTATTTGTACTAAATCATCTGTACAAGTGCATTAATTGTTTCTTGAAACTTGCTTCATTCTAATCATGCATAACATTTACAATGTTCCAAATCAAAATCTTTGCAAAGAACAAAGCCATGATTTGAGAATGAACACTCCGCCTTGTTGAAAACAATGCTTTTAAATGGAAGTATTCTTAGATGTCGCGATTATTCTAATGTTATATGATAAAGATTAAGTGAATTGTTACAATGAACGATTCCAGAAATAACATAACTACTCTATGATGAATAGGAGTTTAATTTCTAGAATTGTAGAAGTTATTATTATTATTTTTTTTTTTTTGCAGGTTCACATACAATTGGAATGGCTCGGTGTGTGAATTTCAGAGAGAGAATATATGGAGATTTCCCAGCAACTTCAGGAATGAATCCAGTTTCACTGAATTACCTAAGCACTTTAAAATCTGTCTGTTCGGCTGATAGAAAATCAGACCAAAATGTATCAGCGATGGACCATGTTACGCCGAATCTTTTCGACAATTCCTATTATCGCATTCTGTTAAGAGGAGAGGGACTGATAAATTCAGATCAAGAACTATATTCCAGTGTTCTAGCCGTTCAAACAAAGAAACTAGTCGAAAAATATGCAGGAAACACGATTGCTTTCTTCGAGCAGTTCTCAGAATCCATGGTTAAACTGGGAAATATAACAAACCCAGAAACATATGTCAATGGAGAAGTTAGGAAGGATTGCAGGTTTGTGAATACATAATCATTACATACATATTTATCAGATCGAAAAATAAGGATAAAATTTGAACCCTCAATTTGATTCATTATGTATTCAAAAAGTATAAGATTTTATGTATGAGTTAAGCACACGGATTTTAGATGCAAATCTTCAACAAATTCTTTGAAGTTCACAAGTGAATTTAGGTGCGAAAAATGGATACTATGATCACAAGAATTAATGAAGAATGTTTCTTTTGATTGAAGTGGCTTAAGCATTGTCTACAAGTTTATGAGAATATTAAATTCATGTATTTATATTTTGTCTTACATTCAAGCCCACCTTTACTTTAGTCATGCCAAATTACCAACCAACATACTTTTCTAGTCCTGTCCATATCAATTTCTATGAAGAATTAATTATTTATTGTAATCAAAGGAAAAAGGTAAAGCGATGACGTGTTAAAGATAAATATATAAATGAGTACATTTATTTTTTTTCTATCAAGGGTTTATTTTTCGAACTTGTATTAAAATAGACAAAAACTCTAAGTTCAAATTTCAACTCAATTAAAAGAAGAGAAAATTAACTGAAATCATGTTATTGAACTTTTAATTTCATTAAACAGTTATTAACTTCTTCTGTTTTCAAAATAAAATAATAATAAATATCTATGTTCTCAACCTTTAGTTTATACTACACCGTTCTTTCAATCTTTTAACATGGTATCACGGTGTTTCAATTTGACAAAATGTCTAAATAGATAGTAAGAGATAGCACGATAGACACGTGATAGATGACCAAATAGTATAATTGTCCAAAAATAATCTCCCTCTTCACTTTGAATGATTTTTACTATAAAGTAAGATATCGAAGTTAACGAAATAAATGAAACTTAAAGAGGCCTATAACTCCGAAGATTCAAAATACAAAGTGCTTCTTTCGGTTCCTTAAAAATTAGTAGCTTACTGTTTACGTCTATAGGACACGTATATCTCGAATTAATAGTGTATATGAATTGATTGAAGAAATTGACATAACTATTAACTACATACCACATAAATAATGTGGGGAGTTGGGACTATGGCTGAAAATTCAATACATGATATCGTTTTCACTACAACCCATGAAGAATGGCACCAAATATAAATGTCAACTCACAAATAATAAGCATAAATAAAATAAATAATATCTTAATTATAGAATTTTTAGAAAATTAAATTCAATTATTAAGATGATTAATTTTTATTTTATTAATATTGAGAAATTATTATTCTATCGATACATCTTAACGCTGACGATCAACCTACCGTTACCCTCTTTTACTCAAACTACTTAAGATGGAAGATAAAACAGAAAATAGAAAAAATAGAGAAAATTTTTATTAGGTGTAAGAAAATTACAATTTCACTATTAATACCAAGAAATAACTGTCTCCAAATTTATCTTCCACTATGCAAAAAACCCTCGAATCTGATTGCTCTGGACTCCTTCTATTAAAATTTTTTATTTCACTTCCACGTGTAAAAATTTAACAGAAAGATAAGCCCACCATTTGGGCCTGACCCATTAATCGTGCCGCTGAATGCTCGTAAATTCCAAAAGTGAAAATTACTGAATTTCATACTTTAAAAATTCACAATTCTAAAATCATATGAGTAGTTTAACATTTCAAAAATCAGATGTTTTATTTTAATTAATATTTTTTTTAAAATAAATATTTTTACTAAATATATTATATACTCCAATAATCAGAAACCCTAATTAAATTTCCACATTCTCTCTCTCTACATTTCTCTGTCGTGTCTCTCTCTCTCTCTATTCCCTGACGGAAAACGAAGACGCCGAAGTAGAGGCGCCTATATCGCCGGTCGATAGTGAGTTGCCTATCGCCTATATCGCCGGTCGAAAGGTGCTTTGCGACTATAGCTACTTCGTCCTTGCATCGATTTTGCCATGGTGACGATGCTATGGTGGTAGAGGCACTTCACGCAGTGAATGGGATGACGGTTGTTGGCGATGGTGGTGGATCTAATGGGGATGGTGGAACTGGTGGTGGAAGTGAGTTTTGTGGTAGTGTTTGTATTGCGCAGGTGTAGTGCCATGGGTTGTGGAAGAGATGGTGGTGCGTGGTTGCGATGATGTGTAGGGACGGTGGTTGGGCATGCTGTTGTGTAAGGGTGCGGTGGTATTGGCGGCATGGTGGTTGCTCTAGCAGTGTGCGGTGCTGTTGACTGGCTGTTTTCAGATGGTGGGTAGATCTATGGTGGCAGATTTGATGGTTTAGTGGTGTTTGGCGGATCTGGTGTTTTGGTGTTGGTTAGCGGTGGTTGTGGTAGTGGGTGGGGGCGATGGTGAGATGTTGGTGGCTGTGATCTATTGAGGTGGATATGTTGATTCGTTTGACAGTGGTGTTGTTGATGGATGGTGGTGGCGGCGGTTCTGCTTTGGTGGTGGCGGTGGTCATCGCAAATGTTGATGGTGGTGACGGATTATTTGATTGAATGTGACCAGCGAATTAGCTAATCTGTGACTAATAAACAATATGTGACCAATGAAAAAAATTGTGACCAAAAAATATTGTGTAATCTAAAAAATTAATAATTTGTGACTGTCTTTTAAGTTGTGACCTATACTATTTGTGATCTGTGACTTATAAATTTTTGATTCGTGACTCATAAAATTTTTGATTTGTGACCGAGAAATAAGTTGTCTCCAATAATTTGATAAGTTGTGACTAAAAATTAATCATGACTCATAAATTTTTTGATTTGTGACCGATGAACGAGCTGTGACCTACAAAATTTTTGAATTGTGATCGTAAACTAATTTGTGACAAAATTTCTTATTCATGACCAAAAAATAATAAGTGACTAATTAAATTATTAATTTGCGACCAAATTAGATGTGACCAATAACAATTTTGATTTCGTGACCTATAAAAGTTTTGATTCGTGATCGAAAATAATGTGACCTATAAAATTTGTGTTTGTGACTTATAATTTATTGAGTTGTGACCGAAAAATTAATCTGTGACCTATAAAATTTTTTATTCGTGATCGAAAAATAATATATAACCTATAAAATTTGTGTTTTTGACTTATAATTTATTGAGTTGTGACCGAAAAATTAATCTGTGACCTATAAAATTTTTTATTCGTGATCGAAAAATAATATATAACCTATAAAATTTGTGTTTTTGACTTATAATTTATTGAGTTGTGACCGAAAAATTAATCTGTGACCTATAAAATTTTTGATTCATGATCGAAAAATAATATGTGACCTATAAAATTTTTAATTTGTGACCCAAAAATAATTTGTCACCAATAATATGATAAGTCGTGACTGAAAATTAATTCGTGACTAATTATTTTTGAATTTGTGATCAATAAACAAACTGTTACTTACAAAATTTTTGAAATGTGATCGTAAAAAAATTTGTGACATAAAATTTTTAATTTGTGACCAAAAAATAATAAGTAACTAATTATATTGTTAATTTGTGATCAAATTGTATAGATCTGTGACCTAAATATATTTAATTAATTAAATAATTAATTAACTAATTAAATTATAAATAATTTTTAATAAAAATCTGATTTTAGAAATTTGAAACTTATTTTCTTGTTTTTGAAATGTGCCATAATTAATTTCTTAATTATGAAATTTTCCTTAAAAAAAAAAAGAAGAAGAAGAACTTTATTCAATAAAAAGAAAGATAGGGCATTTTACTGAATTATTAAAGATAGTAATGACTACAATTCCCCTTGAAATCTTTAATGTCCAGTCATAGCACAAGTATTCGTTGTCCCATGATTAATTGAGTAATTAAGGATCGTAATACTATTTAGAGTAATGCTATGTAGCCCAACTGAAATTGCAATCCCAATATAGATGGCACTAGATGATAGGTTAATTGAAATGTGAAATTAAATGAATTATTTAATTCTACCTATTAATTAATGTCACGTTAACACCCCTAGAATGGGGATAAATGACATTATTCTACTATTTAACACCACTAATGTTACATTGATTTAGGTGGTATTAAGTGTCATTAAAATGAAAACGTGTAATTAAATGAATTATATAATTTTATCTTTAATTGAACTTATTACATGATATTACATAAATTGATGATCTAGCACTACTACTAATTAGCATTATTCATTATGGATGTATTATGTAATTTAAACTTTTCAGACCTTAATTGGGGGAGGGAAAAAAAGGTGAAAAAGATTATTCTAATAGTGGGTATCACTCATTTCGATAAATTAATTTAGTGTAAGTATTGCATAGTTGGACTCAATGACTTTCCTAATGATCCTCAACCGTCTAACTAAAACAAAACAATAAGTGGATTGTAAATGTTTAGTATCCAGTATTATACTATACTTGACATTACAATCAATAAAATTTCAGTTTTTCTTGATTTCTTAATACTGTAAAAAAAATATCTGACCCACAAAAAAAAAAAAAAAAAAA